AATATTTAAGTTGATGTTCAAAGGGGCATCTCAATGTATGCCACTGTGGTATACTTTACTGTAGGCCATTCAACCCCTTCTATTACTCTTCCTTATCCTTTTACCTCCTGCCCCCCTCCCCATTTTTCAACAGCTTTCAATACACATCCTTATATCCTCTACATTCATATCTTATGTTATGCAGTGTTACTGATGCTCTGTCATTCTCTTTTCCTTTCCCTCTTTCCCCGAGTTCCATAGAATAGTTCTACTATTTCAAACATGTTCTAAATCTGAGTTTATATATGATCATTCTTGCTTTTGTGTATATGTTTATCTTTGGATCTATCTTCCACATATGAGAGAAAACATGCAGCTTTTGTGTTTTCGATCCTGACTTACTTCACTTGAGATGATGTCCTTCAGTTGCATCCATTTACCTTCAAACCACATGTAATTATTATTTATGGCTGAGTAATACTCCATTGTGTATATATACCACAATTTTATGATCCATTCATCAGTTGTAGGGCACCTCAGATGTTTCCAAAGCTTGGCTATTATGAATTGTGCTGTGATGAACATCAGAGTACAGGTGTCTCTATTGTATTCTGTATTATGTTCTTTTGGGTAGATGCCCAGGAGTGGTATCACTGGATCATATGGCAGTTCTATCTTTAGCTTTTTGAGGAATCTCTATACTGCTTTCCAGAGTGGTTGTACTAATTTCCATTCCCCCCAACAATGTATAAGTGTTTTTGTTTTGCTATATCCTCACCAGTATTTGTTGTCGTTATTACCCTTGATTATGGCCATTCTAACTGGGGTGAGATGAAATCTAAGTGTTGATTTGCATCTCTTTTATAGCCAGGGAAGTTGAACACTTCTTCATGTATTTACTGGCCATTTATACCTTTTCCACTGAGAATTCCCTGTTTAATTCCTGTGCCTATTTCTTCATTAGGGTGTTGATCCTTTGGGGACTGAGTTTTTTGAGTTCTTTGTAGATTTTGGATATTAGTCCTTTATTGGATGAGAGCTGGCATAGATTTTCTCCCATTCTGGGGCTATCTCTTGAGTCAGGTGATTGTTTTCTTTACTGTGAAGAATCTCTTTAGTTTGACACAGTGCCATTTGTTCATTCTTTCTCTTAGATGCTGAGTCTTTTTAGTTCTACTAAGTAAGTCATTTTCTACACCTATCTATTCCAGTGTATTTCCTACTGCTTCCTGGAGTCGTTTCAAAGTTTCAGGCCATATGTTAATGTCTTTGATCCACTTTGAGTTGATTTTGGTATAGGGTTAAAGACAGGGATCTAGTTTCAGTCTTACACATGTGGATATCCACTTTCCCCAGCAACATCTGTTGAAGAGGGTTCCATTTCTCCATTGTGTGTTTGGGCTCCTTTGTCAAAGATCATTTGACTGTAGATGCATGTGTTTATGTCTGGACCTTCTATTCTGATCCACTGGCCTTCTTGTCTGTTTTTATGCCAATACAATTCTGTTTTTATTGTTATGGCTCAGTAGTAGATTTTGAAGTTGGGTATTGTGATGCCTCCAGCATTGGAGTTTGCTCAGAATTGCTTTGGCTATTTAAGGCCTTTTGTGTTTCATATGTATTTCAAGATTGATTTTTCTATTTCTGTGCAGAATGTCATTGGAATTTTGATAGTGATTGCCTTGAACATGCAGATTGCTTTTGGTAGTATGGCCATTGTCACAATGTTGATTCTCCCAACTCATGAGTGTAGAAGGTCTTTCCATCTTCTGATGTCTTCTTAAATTTCTCTCTTCAGTGGTTTATAGTTTTTATTTAAAAGGCCTTTTGTCTTTCATTAAATTTTTTTCAAGGTACTTTATTGTTTTTAAGCTATTGTAAATGGGGTTGTTTCCATTTTCTTTTCTTTCTTGGTCTTTTCATTGTTGGCATATGGAAAGGCTACTGATTTCTGTATGTTAATTTTTTAACCTGCCACTTTGCTGAAAGAGTTTATGGTTTCTAATTGTTTTTTGTAGAGTTTTTAGGATCTTTTAGGTATAGGATCATGTCATCTGCAAACAAGGATAGTTTGACTTCTTCCTTCCCTATTTGAATCCCTTTTGTTTCTTACTCTTGTCTTATTGGTCTGGCTAGGAATTCCAAAACTATGTTGAATAGGAATGGAGAAAGCAGACAGTCCTGTCTCATTCCTGACTTAAAAGGAAATTGTTTCAGTTGTTCTCCATTTAGTTGACATTGGTTCTAGGTTTGTCATATGTAGCCTTTATTATGTTGAGGAACATTCCTTCTATTTCCAGTTTCTTCAGAGCTTTTATCATGAAAATGTGCTGGATTTTGTCAAGTGATTTTTCTGTGTCTATTGAGATGATCAAGTGTTTTTTGTCTTTGATTCTGTTTATACACTGTATTACATTTATGGATTTATGTATGCTGAACCATCCTTGTATCCCAGGAATGAAACTGACCTCGTCATGGTGTATGAGCTTTTTGATGTGTCATTGAATTCTGTTTGCCAGTATTTTGTTATGAGTCTTTGTGTCTATATTAATTACAGATATTGGTCTATAATAATCTTTTCTGGTTGTGTCTTTATTGGGTTTTGGAATGAATGTAATGTTGGCTTCATAGAATGATGTTGGTAGTGTTTCTTCTGTTTCTATTTCCTGGAAAAGTTTGAAGAGTATTGGTGTTAGTTCTTTAAAAATTTGGTAAAATTCAGTTGTAAATCCATCAGATCCTGAGCTCTTCTTTGTAGGGAGAATCTTTATTACTGCTTCAATTTCATTGCAGGTAATAGGACTATTTAGGTTTTAAATATATTCTTGGTTCAATTTTGGTTGGTTATATGCATCTAGGAATTTATCAATTTCTTCTAGGTATTCCAGTTCACTTGAATATGTTTTCAAAGTATTCTCTAATGATTCTTTGGATTTCATTAGTATTTGTGGGTATGTTCCCTTTTTCATGTCTGATTTTATTAATTTGAGTCTTTTCATGTCTGGATTTATTAATTTTGGGTTTTGTCATGTTGGGTAAATGTTTGTTGATCTTGATAATCTTTTGGAAGAACCAACTTTTTGTTTCATTGATTCTTTGTATAGTTTTTTTTTTTTTGTCCTGATCTCATTGATCTTGGCCCTGATATTTATTATTTCTCTCCATCTGCTAGTTTGGGATTTGGTTTGTTCTCATTTTTCTAGGAGCTTAAGGCACATCATACGCCAGAGCAATAAATTTATTTGAGAGATCTCTGTTTTTTTTAAATATAGGAACTTATAGCTTTAAACATTCCCCTTAGGACATACTTTGCTGTGTCCCACAGATTCTGGTAGATTGTATTTTCCTTTTCATTGGATTCTAGTAACTTTTTTATTTCTTCCCTTATTTCTTCAGTCACCCGCTGGTTTTTTAGCAGTGTGTTGTTCAGTCTCCATGTATTTGAATATTTTCTGGGGTTTCTTTTGTTGTTGAGGTCTAGTCCCATTCTGATCTGATATGATGCAGGGAGTTATTTCAATTTTCTTGAATTTGTTGAGACTTACTTTGTGTCCTAAAACTTGATCTATTTTGGAGAAAGTTCCATAAGCTGCAGAAAAGAATGTGTATTGCCTGAATTTTGGGTGAAATACTCTGTAGATATCAACCATGTCTGTTTGGTCTAATGTGCAGAGTAGCTCTGAGGTTTCTTTTCTGATCTTTTGCTTAGATTATTTATCTATGGTGAAAGTGGGTATTCAGGTTTCCCACTACCACTGTGTTAGGGTCTATCTGTGCTCTTAGGTCCATTATAGTTTTTTAAATGTAGATGAGTACTCCTGTGATTGGTGCATATATGTTAAAAGTTGATATTTCCTATTGATGAATTGTTCCTTGAGTTAATATGAAGTATTATGATTTTATTTTCTGTCATCTCTGAAACTTTAAGCCATTAAAAAAAACCAAAACAAAAGGCACACTTCTGAACTTTATGTCCTTAAGTGAACATTCTTAAAGTATTCCTTACTTAGTTAGAGTTTTAATGTGCCAATTTAAAAACAAAAGAGAGAGATAATTTGACCTGAAGTTACTTTAAACAGTTTGCTGTAAAGGTATCCTGCCTACTTGTAAACTAAATGCCAATTCGAGTGCTCTGCAAAAGAAATAAGTCTCTATGTACAATATATTCCATTCATAACACAGGATTAAACACTTTCCTTGGATAGTTTGGCATGCATTTTAACACAAGTTAATTTTGCTTTTTGAAAGTCAAAATAAAATAAAAATTATCATTTGGAAAACTTACTACTGTTGTGTGAATAATATGCATTGAAGATTAGACTAATAACTGAATGACTGCTGAACATGCATGAGCTTCTAGTTTTCTACAGAATTCTTTATTATTTTTTTCTTTTTTCTTTTTCTATGGTGCAATTTGTAGGTGAACTTAGGGCCTCACACTTGCTAGCACTTGAGCCAGGCTGCCAGCCTTTTGCTCTGGTTATTTTGTTTTTGTTTGTGGCCTGGACTGTGATCCTCCTAACTTATGCTTCTTTGTTTAGCTGTGATGACAAGCATGTGCCACTATGCCAGGTATAGGTCAACACGGGGTCTCTAGAACTTTTTGCCCTGGCAGGCCTCCAACCAGGATCCTTATCTTGGCCTCTGGAGTAGTTAAGATTATAGGCTTGTGCACTGTGCCGGCACAATACATTTAAGCTAAAAGTTTTAAACTATCCCACAGTGCGCTGGATTGTGACAACAGGATTTAATAAGGAGCAAGAGTCCACATGGCTATCACGTGGGTAGGAACCAATGCTATACCACCTCATCTTGGTCTATTTGCAAAGAGACCACAGGTAAATAAAGTGTACCTTGCCCCTGCAGGAGCTACGCAGAGCCTTGTGGGAAATGTAGTCTTATTCAGTCCATTCACCAGCACCATCAGGAGTGCCGCTCTTCCGGGTTTATTCTGCGCAGGCGCAGCCCCTCTCCCGCCAGTTTCCTCCCGGAAGGTACCAGACCTGCGTCTTTGAGGACACTGTCCAGCGGAATTTGAGTTCTGCGGGGAAGTCCCTGAAGGTCCATGTGAGGGTGAGAGAAAAAGCGGCCGCGGGGATCCTGGAGTGTGCCAGAACCGCAGGGTGGTCGTCCGCGGGTCCGTCACACAGGTGGCGGGCGGAGCCTCGCTGGGCTGGGAGGGACATTCCCAGCGGCAGCTATGTGTGTGACTGCTGGACCGCGGGTCTGCAGTGTGATTGCGGCCAGGGAGGCGCACCTTGGAGCAAGGCCTTTTGTCACTTGGTCGTGTCACAGCTAGTGGCGTCCTCGTGGCCAGGGCGCGTGAGTGGCACAGCGCAGATCTTTGTCTTGCGAATACGTGGAGGAGCCTCCTTGGAACCGTCACGGGGGCGGCGTCCCCAAGTTCCTGGTTCATTTGTTTTATGCACGAGCATCTGCAAAAATGCTGAGTTGCAGCATGCATGTCTCCCATGAAAAGAGACAGTGGGAATGAGCTTCTGGAGTCCCGTGGGGAAGTACTTAGTTCGTCCTATACTCCAAGTGATTTTATGTTTTTGCCATCCCAGTATGGCAGTACTGGGATTTGGACGCAGGGCCTCGCAAGCACTGCACCCTTGAGCGTCACCCCAACCCATTTTGCTTTCAGTTAATTTTTCAGATAGTGTCTTTTTACTATAACTTTTTGTTTGCTTGTTTAGCAGTAGTGGGATTTGAACTCAGGGCCTTGAAGCAAGCAGCTTTACTACTTGAGCAGTGCCCTAGCCCTCAAATAGGGCTTGCTTTTGCCTGGGGAAAGCCTCAGACCATGATCTTTACTCCTGGTCTGGCGTGAACTTGCTTTAACTCTTAACTACTTGGTTGGGTGCTTATGTTCTGTGCCAGAACATGAACCCTAGGAACAACAGTCCAGTCTGGTATCATTACATTATCAGCTCCAGAGCCAGGACATTTAGTAAAAACAGGAACTTGGCCAGCTCGGGAAAATAACCCTTTGTTCTTGATAGTAACTTTTATCAGATTCAGCAGAGTCCGTCAAGCGAGGCTGTGGGAAACGAGTTAGACTAACATTTGTAGCAGCAGTGCTTACTGATTAAATCCTTTGACAGAAAAGACCCAAGCTGAGCTCATTCTTACAAGACCATGATCTAACCCCTACCTCAGCTTGAGCTGAGATTGAAGACATGTGCCACCACATCCAGCTCCCAGGTGCTCATTTAATTTTCATTTTTGTGCTGGGGCCTCAGGCACATTTTTAGTGAAGATATAATGGCTGTTTAAAGTACTTTTTTTTTTTCTATCTTTTTTTAAATGGTAGTGAGGTTTGAACTCACGGCTCTGTGCTTGCAGTAAGTCACCTTCAAGAGGGAGGGGGTCCATTTCTAACATGGCTTCTTTTGTTCACCCTATCAGGTACATCTTCACTGGGGTCTTTGTTGCCTTTTCTTGTATAAGGTTCTATTCTCCTACATAGAGGTTTTTTGTTGTTGTTTTTTGTCATTATTTCCAGCCAACATGTAGAGTTTTGAGCAGGAGAATCAGGACCAAACAATGCCTGTTGACTCATTAGTGTGCTCTTCTCTCAGCTACACCTACAGAATGTGTTTCTTAGAGAAGTAAAAAATGAACCAATTTCTGGTGAGTTGCTTGTTTATCCTTCACTTTATTTTACATAGTATTTTATGACTTTGTGAAGTCTGTAAATAAAAATGGAATTGTAGAAATGAGTAAAGCAGCTTCAGGGTAATGCAAATAAATAAGATAGACTTGACATGTAGACATAGGCAGCTTCTTTACTTTTCTCTTTGTCAGTACTGGTGTTTGAACTCAGGGCCACACACTTGCTAGGCAGGCAGTCTACCACTTGGGTCACTTCACCAGCCATAGGTTGGTTTTAAGATGCTAAAAACATCTGTGTTGAGTACCAGTTTGTCTCTGCACTTTTTTTGGTGGGGAGTACAGTATTGAGGTTTGAACACCTTGTGCTTATTAGACATACGCTCTACCACTTGAGCCATGCCTCCACTCTTTTTCCTTTAGTTATTTTTCAAGCAGGGTCTTGTGTTTTTGCCTAGGACACCATAATCCTCCTACCTCCACTTCCTTTGTTTTTGGAATTATAGGTGTGGTCCATCACACCCAACTTGTTTTTGAGATAAGGTCTTGATAACTTTTTTGCTCCTGCTTCCCTTGAACCACAATCTTCCTATCTCTGACTCCAGATTATCTAGGATTACAAGTGTGTGCCCCTATGCCTGGCCCTATCTCTTTCTGATGCCTGACAAGCGGAAGACTCCTTTGTTACATGATTTGAATGCTTCCTGAGAAGAGAGCATGCTAACTTCTCATGGGACGTAAAAACTTTACCAAAGGCTAAAACATTACCTGGTTTCATAGATGTTGTAGTGGGTTTTTTATGGCCAGCATGGAAATAGCTCTTCTGTTGTTCTGCAGTAGAAATGGTTATCTGGTGCTAATGTAATATAATTTTAATAAATTTTTCTGGAGTTGCTAAAATAGTGTGGTCCCAAGCAACTTTTGGAAGGCCATATTTGGTTCATGGATAAAACCTGAACTATCTGGAGGATTGAATTGACCACAGCTTGTTCAATGTCTCTGTTATCTGTATGTCAGCCCACATGTACATGTGCACACTGTTCAAAGTTAAATTTCCTGGCAGATCTCACTGCTCATTTGTCCTTTTGCCTACACAGATTTGTGTTAGTTCAGCTTTTTAGAAGCCCATTAATAACATAACTTGTAGTTTACATCCATTGCCATTTGCTGTATTTGAAGCTACTTTTTGTCTTGTGTTCCTTGACATTCCACCACAGCCTTTCTCAAGATGTCTTCTCTGTTGCCTTGAATTATTCTGCTTTTCCTGCTCCTTAACATAACTAAACCGAGTGCTCCAGCCTGGGCCCCATTCTTCTCACTCTGTGGGTCTGGATGGATCTAGCTGTCTGTGGTTTACACTTCCTTACATACAGCACCACAGGCATCCTGCCAGTGATCCAACCCTCAAAAACAGGATTTTTCCTGGACTCCTTGCTCTCTGTCAGTTCTAAGCTCATCTGTGCTACTTTTATTTATTCTGTTCTTTTGTCCTGCTCTTTGCATACAGTGCAGGTAGGGTTAGGATCTGATCATAGCTCATGAATAAACATGGTAACTGGCGATGTCAATTCTGGAAAAACGTGAAGAGTGTGTTTGCACAGAGCAATTTGTCTAAACAGAACATGTGGTGACACCCTTAGGAGTCCCCTAGAAGAAGACATTCATGAGTTAGTGATATACATTGGAGGAAAGGTTAGTGAAAATATATGCAAAGAATAAAAACTAGAAGCACAAATTTTCATAAGTTCTAACTTATTTATGTGAATTTTTCAGTGACTGTATTTGCACTTGTTATTAAAATACAGTTGTATGTAATTCTAAAGAATCTGTCATGTTTTCAGATTCCTTTAAAGTCTGCATTTAGTTTTTCTGGTATTTTAGCTATATAAGAATGAATAATACAAAATGGCTGTTTGCACGAACTATGGCTATGGTTATGGATTATAACTGTAGTTTATAGTTGGTTAAGAGTAAAAAATGATAACTTCACTAGCTGAATATTTTAAATTCACAGTTGTGTTTTGAGAGAGAACATAATTGTGAAATGAGCTTTACCATTCACTGATTTTGAGCTTAACATTAAATCTCATCCTCCAAACTCCATGTTTCAATCTAAGGTACTTGCTATGGTCCCTAGTGATGTTTAAGGTGTTCAAACTCAAAAACATACTGGCTTAAGTAAAATTGTCATTACATGTCACAATTTTGAAGGCCAGGGAACTGGGCAGGATAGTATGTCTTGTTTTGTTTATGTTATGGTGTTTCACTGTGTGTCTGGTCTGCTTCAGGGCAGTGTGGTCAGGTACACATGTCTCTTGTCCCAGCTGGAATGTCACTAGTGGCATGAAGTTTCATTCTGGCCACAAATTACTCACATTTCATCAAAGTTCAAAATATACTTGGCCTCTCTTAGTGCCTCCAGAGTTCTTTCCTGTTTTGACACTGGTAGGAAGCTTGATTAAATCAGGTCCTGGAAGTTATTGGGGTCTGGGGGTCATGTCAAGCCATTGTCTGTGGTCATGTTGAGAGACAAGGAGTTCATGGCAAAGGTTATTGAAAGTAGAAAGTGAAGGTATCCCCGTCAAGGAAGAAACTGAGGGCTAGAGCCATGAAGATCAAGAGCCCAGTTGTCCGTGGTATTGCTGGCTTTCATGTGGTTTAAGTCAGGCTGGTGGGAGAAACCTGTGTGTTTCTGCAGGTGGAGTTAGGGCTATTAGCTGATTTGTTTGACAGCTTGATGATAACTGATTTCTGATTGTGCATGTTTCTTCCCTTAAGTAGAGAAAAACACCTAAAAAGTTACTACAGGTGACAGGTTGGCTACACTGCACAAAACTTCAGAACTGGTTGGAACCAGTTATCACTCCTTCCCTACTTTGCAGGCTGCAGGAGATCACAAGAACTGAAATATTAAGCCTCAAAAGATATATCAGTGGGTCAGGGGGAGGTGTGGATTTTATTTCTCCTGCCAGATTTCCCCTCTGAGAGACAAGATCCCCAAAAATCTTTTAGAGGTTGTTGAGAGAGTTAGTCTCTCTTTCTCTCTTTTTGTAATTTCTGTGTTTATCAGGAGCAGTCAACCCTACCTACAGGGGATCCTTTTCCTAAATCTGTCTCAACTTGGGATTAGGGTATATGGGTACTGGAAGCATTCTCCAGTCCTGTCCAGTTCATTGGTCCCTAGAGCCTGGGCTAGCTTTTAAGTGTCCAGCTTGCTGCCTGGGTGAGATGAACCTGCAAAGGCAGTTAACAAGATAAGGGCTGATGAGCAAAACCAGCAGATTAGAAGCAAGGGGTCAAGGAAGTGAGACAACCAAGTTCCTTCCCAAGAGAGCCATCCTTTTGCAGCTCTTTCCTTTAGGTCTCTGGTCTTTCCTAGTACCTGTTTTATGTTGTTTTATATTTTCCCACATTTGTTAACATAAAAGCAGCATTCTTTTCCTAACATGGCACAAGTC